CATTCTTTCTATTGCATCCCCCCCCTATTCCAAACAGGAGGTTGCCAAAAGCATCCCTTTTATCCAGCACAGTTGCTCCACAATACTAAGATGAACGGAAAGCACAACCAGAGGCAGAGGCCAAAGCCTTGAGTCGGATAAATTGTTTTTGTCAGTGCCGCCTTTAATTTACATCAGGTAAGGATCTGTCCCTGTAGTCTCCTTTAAAAGCAAGAACTGATAGATGGCATATGAACAAACTCTTTTGCAGGATAAGAGGTACTTCTGCAGGAATTAGTTGACGCTGAGATAGCCTCCCTCTGTGTTAGCATAGCATCTACATGGTGATATTTATGATATTTGAACGGGGAAATCTCTCGCCTCTGAAATATGCAGCAGCCCAATTTACATGCTTTATTGCCCAAAGGGGCCATTTATTAACACTGAAACAGCACCTATACATTTTAAAAGGAGACTCAAAATGGAGAAAGATTGTCAGATTGCAAATCAGGAAGGCTTTTTTTTTTTGGTCTTTTTTGTATTCTTTCCTCAGTACCCCACCCTCTTTTGTGCTTCTCTACTGTTTGTGGAGTGGGTATGAGGGGAGGAAGGGGGGAGAGAAATCAATTTGCATAGAAAACTTCAAATACTATTTATACAACATCGGTTTCTAGTTTCTCTTCCCTGGTTCTATATGACCCTAGTTCATCATATTGCTATCACTTCCTTATTTATGGGACAGGGATGACAAGAGTTGTCAAAAGATGAGATTATGATGAATTCTTTGTGGTGCCTGGACTATAAGGGTGTCATTGTGTTGGCAACTGAAGAAGTAGAGAAGGATGAATGGTGAGCGGTAGACACCGATGCGCCTTACTCCTTTTGCTGCTACCCTATGAAGCCAGAACAATGTTCGTTGCCAGATGCATCAAAATATAGACATGTAAAAACTGCCTTATACTAAAAATCAAACTAGATATTAATACGAATGTGAATTCCCTACGATTAGCCTATTTCTCTTCCCACTATAGGATTTGAAGTACAAACCTAACTCAGAGATCTGGTGGCTGTAAGAGATTAGAATAAATCTCTTCTGCTGGCGGGGCTCTTCTGACAACAATTGAACAATATCAGCAGGATCTCCAACTGGACTGGACCATCAGAACATCTCCAAAAGAAGTGGCGATAATAGCAGCACAAAGGCAGGCCACACTGAGGGTAGTCCTAAATAATTCCCAAGAAGTCTAGAGAGGACTGGACAATGCAGCTTCAACTGGCTTAATAGCCCAGATGGCCATTGGTAATCTCCTAGACCAATTAGGGTGGCATTCTTTTTCAAAATTATGTCCATGTATGATCAGATTTCCAATGAAGTGTACGTTTACTTTCCAAGGAGCTATCACATAACTAAGCATGCTAAATGCAAGATATGCAGGTGAAGAAAGTCATCTGTTATGAAAAGCAGATATCTTTCACCACCTGGAGAAACACCTCTGCACAGAAAGACATGATAAATTGTCTAGTTTCAGCCAAAGTCACACCTTTGGACCATTTGTCATTATTACTTACACTGACTGGCAACATCTCTCCAAATTTCAGAGAGAATCTTTCCTAGCTCTACCTGAAGATGCTAGAGACTGAATCTGAGGATGTTCTGCACACAGAGCAGAGGTTAAGCTACAGCCCTGCTCAAGGGGTAAACCGTATAACCTGGACAGTTCATTGATATCCCATAGGAAGTTTGGATGGTCCCCTCTCTGCAGTCATTTTGTCAGCTGTCAAAGACCTTTATCATTTAGATGGGCCTTTGGCTGCTAATTGGTTGTGGCAGATGGATCTTTTAATGGGCTGGCTTGAACTTTTATCGTCTTTGCTATGTTTTAGTAATGTGTTTTAAACCATTTTAAATTAGCGTTTTAATAGGATCCTTCCTTAATAATTGTTTAGCTTTTTATTCTTAGGTTTTTTAGCTGTACTTTATTTTAATGCATATTGACAGCTGCCTTGGGTCCCATGCCAGGATAAAGGTAGGATATAAACTGAATAAATCAATAAACCATCTTTCTTCCCTGCTGCTCCCCACACACTCATCTACCATAATGTAGCTCCAGAAATTGAAATCTTTCTGCATCTTTTCTCTGTTTTGCATCCTTTCTGTTCTGTTTTTTCATTCTCTCTTCCTTGCTTCCTCCCACCCCCTCCTCCCATATGTTTTTAAGGAGATAAAAGTTACATGCAAAAAGCTCCAACTATCCATTAATAGCCTCCAGGGCCAGTCATCCAGTGCCCTTTTCTAAATGTCTTGGAAATGTAACATTTTTGCACTTGATAGTCCCAGGTGATTTAGCTTCAACTTCCCAGCAAAACTGCCCAATGTTCATCAGCCCCTCATGTGACTTTGGTCAAAGCTGGAGTGAAGAATGTGTCACTCATGAAGAATGAATTGCAATCACACCTTTAAACTATTCCTGCTACTACCCACAAGAGCAACGACGCTTGAATCTGAGGTTATGTGAACAAAACTACAGTTTGAAATGCAGCCTTATTGCTGGATTACAAAATGAGCTTTATAACTGAGCTGCTAACCATATAGCAGCAGAAATCTAAGAAGGAGCACATTACTTATTCCATTAATGGTTGTATCCTTAATAGAAACAGGTTCATTACATGGCAAGGAACAAAGTTTGCATTAAATAGAAACATCATTTGGTGTTTTATTGATTAAAAGGAGATTAGATTTCCACCATGTTCTTTACCAAATAGGAAGCCCCGGAGGAAATGTATATTTAGATCGCAAGGTGGAAGGTTTTTCTTACGGTATAATGGAAAGAAAATGTATCTTGTAATGATAGTTTATATCACACAAGGGAGCCAATAAGTAAAAGCTTGGCTCTTACTCCTACCACCAAAATGCAGAAGTCGTTGTCTGTATTAATGGAAGAGAGGAAGCAAATACTTCCCATTTACATAGCCTATGTCAAAAACACACCGGATCGCAGCAAACTTAACAGCTTTCTTTTTCACCTAGAAAGATCAGTTGAAATTGTGTCCGTGGAGAAATCTGCTAAGTTGAAGG